TCTTCTCTTCGTTATAAAAAGATGTGGCTTAACGTTCCTCTGGAATGTAATTGTGTATTGAAAACATCATTGACCTTATTTAGACCTTTCTTACAAATACATTCTTCGTTATAAAAAGATGTGGCTTAACGTTCCTCTGGAATGTAATTGTGTATTGAAAACATCATTGACCTTATTTAGACCTTTCTTACAAATACATTCTTCGTTATAAAAAGATGTGGCTTAACGTTCCTCTGGAATGTAATTGTGTATTGAAAACATCATTGACCTTATTTAGACCTTTCTTACAAATACATTCTTCGTTATAAAAAGATGTGGCTTAACGTTCCTCTGTTTTTCTTGCCAGAGTACTCTGAATGAACATCAGTCTGCAAGTGGTGAACAGCGTCCGTATTCCTGTGATGTGTGTTATAAATCGTTCATTAATCTCAGTAAACTGACCAGGCACCAACGCATACATAGTGGGGAGCGGCCATTTTCCTGTGATGAATGTAATAAATCGTTTGGTGAACAGGGCACTCTGAAAGTTCATCAGCGAATACACAGAGGAGAGCGTCCATACTGTTGTAGTGTGTGTAATAAGTCATTCAGGCAGCGGAGCCATTTGAAGGAACATCAACGCGTACATAGTGAGCAGGGTAGTCTGAAGATTTGTCAAGGTGCACATAGTGGGGAAAGTGTTTATTATTGTGGCGAATGTAGTAAGTCATTTTGTGAACATAGTAAACTGAAGAAACATCAACGTATACATAGTGAGAAGCGGCCATATTTCTGTGATGAATGTAATAAATCCTTCAGTAGACATAGTAAATTGAAAATTCATGAACGTACACACACTGGGGAGCGTCCATATTCCTGTGACCTGTGTAATAAATCGTTCAGTGAACGTGGTACCCTGAAGATACATCAACGCATTCATAGTGGAGAGCGCCCATTTCCTTGTGACTTATGTAATAAATCATTCAGGCAATGGAGCCACGTTAAGCAGCATTACCGCACGCACAGTGGGGAGTGTCCTTATTCCTAAGATCTTTGTAATAAATCATTCAGTAAGCAGAGATACTCATATTTGAATTGTTGCCCTGTGCATTTGATTTCTGAGGACGGTGAACGAAGAATACCATTGACTTGAATGTTATCTTTACCAGATTGCATGAGGTCTTATGTGAGAATATGGGATTCTTCTGAGTTCTTATGTTATAGCAGTTGGAATTTATTGTGGAACTTCAGCCTTGGGCGGTGTTGTCTGTAAAATGTTGAAAGTTATGCATTTGACATATTAGTTTTCATCTTTAGACTTAATATCTTGTATGGGTTTCAAGGCCTTATGTAGATCAGGCAGTGGGTGGTGAGTGGTAGATGAATGCATAATTTGATGAAACTGGACCATGGTGCTGCCTCGTGGGTAGCAACCATACATTTGAGGAAAAGAGGTGATACAGTTTTCTCTTTAGAGACCAGGTGCTTGGGAAAATATGTGATGAAAAGTGTTCTCTTAGCCCCATGTGTAGGATAAGAGGCACTGAGATGCATTTTTAGTGGCCATGTGGTTAACCCTTTCCAGTCGTATGTCGATATATAATCGACATTGAGCATGTGCTTCCATGGACAAATGTCGATATATGATCACAAACTTTCTTTCTCGTTTCTCTGATGATAAGTCAGTCATACTTCACTACTTGCCACTGTATACTATACTGCTGCAATCTTGAATGTTTAGGCTGCATTCTCCCTCCATCTGAAAGTCATAATTTGAACGAATGCCATTCATACCCTATCGTGCCCTATGCATATCAGTGTTAGCAACATGGCTTCTCGTTCAGGTACATATGTACCTTCTGGCATGAAAAAACGGAAATATAAAGTTTTGCAATTTTGATGGAAGATAAACAATGGACGCTAATTGGAAATATAATCCCATATGTGTTGAGGATGAAGAATCGATTAGTGATATGTTAAATGAAGAACCCGTTATAGACGCTGATGATCAGATGGATTTGGAAAATGTACAAGAAACTGCGAGTGAAGAATCCAGCGATGAAATGTCGGAAAGTGAGAGTGAGAATGAAAGAAGTGTTGTCGCGTGTTGATTGGTGGGAAGACGTGATGGGAAAGAAGAAACCCAAGGCATACATATTTACTAAAACTGCAGGGGCACAATTTAACCTTCTGCCAGATGCAGAACCCATGAATTATTTTAGTTTATTTTTCAATTATGAGCTTTTGAATAACATTGTTATAGAGACAAACAGCTATGCGAGACACAAAATTTTGGGACTTCATTTTAGCCCAAGGTCCATTTTGAGCAGCTGGTCTGGTGTGTCATTTCCTGTCATTTCCCTTGACAACCCGGCTGCATAAATCTTTCCAAATGTGACAACTGGAAAGGGTTAAGAAAGGCGGTGAAAGAAAAATTTTACTTTCCACAAGGTTAGGCAAGGAGGTGAAAGGCTTTCTATGAGTATGAGGATGGGGAAGTAGGTGATGTAAAAGAAATTTTGCATGTGTGTCTGTGTGCACGAGTGAGATGGAAAATTGATTGAGAAAGAAGCTGCTGGGATGTGTTAGTGACAGAAAGGTTAGGAAAGTAGGTGATGAAGTTCTAATGTCTGCATGAACACCTACCATGCTTATGTCGGGGGAGCTACTGAAGTAACAGACCGTACCCTCATAAGTTCACCTCATTCCCTACGTATCTACCACTCAACCACTTCACCTGTGTAGACCAGTGTTTGAGGGGAAGGGGTTTCTAAAACCTCATCACCTCCATTTCAAATCTCTTTGTCATTAACACATCCAATCACCCACCTCATTTCCTAATTGGTGGCTGTTAAACATCATTTCATCACCTCTTCCAGTCCACATATTTGCTAAAAATTTTTATCACTTCATTTCCTTAATCACATGGCCACTTCCTATTGCATAGAATTCCACTCTTGTGTTTCATCAGGTTGTGGCTTCTTCTCTGTCTCTGTCTCATCACCTATTACCAGTTGTGCACAAGCCCCCCCCCCCAAGACATTAACCCTGAAGTTGACAGTTGCAGTGTTTACTGAAAGAGATAATCGTAAACATTCCATGCAGCTAATTCCAAAAACCAGATGTATATCGGAATGTTTGAAGATCCATCGGTGCACAAAATGAGATATGTGCACACTTTCGTTACGCTGTACTAACACTTCCACTGCCAGATTTAAAATTCGGGACTTATTTCAAATTAAGATGGATAGGTCATATAGCGTTCATGGAGGAGGTAAATGCATTTAAATTTTATTTGGGAGATCTCAAAAGAAGAAACAACTTGTCAGACCAAGATGTAAATGGGAAGTTATTTTGTGCAATAATTCACAGAATGGAAAGTTAGCCATGTGAAGGTAATAACAAGAGAATGGTGGAACTGGAATATCTAGTCAAAACTGCGGTTACAGAGTTTGCACTTCATAGCATGTTCAGTCAGATCACATAATGGGGAATGTTACGCACTAAACCCTCGCTAATCTGGTTACAGTTAATCCAGGGTTTGGAAAATCCGATTCAAAATAATGAAATGGAATATTCTGTTCACAATTAAGTTTTTAGACACATGGCATTTAGGAAGGCAGATGAGTCACTTGTCTGTTCAGACAAACTTGACAGTGTCTTCAAACTTGCATTATTACATTCAAAAACAAGTAAAATTTCTGAGTCTTCTATCGATGAATAAATGTATTGCCTTTTTATAGCTTTAAATAAAGACTACAGTGATATTTTTTTTATTTTCATCACCACAACTGTTCCCTAAAAATTAATTGGGAAATATTAATCTTATAGACAGTTGGCAGGACTCTTTGGACGGATGATCAATCCTATGGCGGGGCCCCTGTCCGCACAGAAAAACAGAAATCAGAAGAAACACAGACATCCATGCCTCAAGTGGAATTCAAACCCATGATCCCAATGTTACGTTTTATGCATTAAAACGCGTGGCTGCTATGATTGGCATTTAGTATTGTAATGGTGGTTGTGTGCAGGGTTGAATGTTGCTGTGAATATATTGAACGAGCAGTCGCGGGCAGCCAGCTTGTTGGTTCGGGCTAGTAGCTGACAGCCTCCAGCCACAAGACTGCCATGGAACAAAATGTTAGTATTAAAATGGATTTGATGGACATAGGATGTGAGGACATGTAGTGGATTTTCCTGGCTCAGGTTAGTACATGGAGGATTTTTAGACGAATTCACGGCGATCGGTGCATCACCGGCCATGAGGCGCATGTGATTTTTGCAGGGTCTTATGAACATGGCAATTAAACTTCGGGTAGATCATTCCATAGCTCAGGCGGTTAGTCGCCGGCTTCCCACCGCAGCGGTCAGGGTTCGATTGCAGGTCAGGTCATGTGGAATTTGTGGTGGATAAAGTGGCAGTATGGCACGTTTTGTCTGGGTGCTTGGTTTCCCCTGTCAGTTGTCATTCTGCCACTGTTCCATAGTCATCTCTCATTGGGCTCACTGATGGCCGACGTACTGAGTTTCACGCAACCTCACGAATAGAAAAAAAATCTTCGAGGTATCATAGAAGATGGTCTAGCTGAAGGACTTGGCTTCTCAAGAAAGATCCTGTTAGTTTAAATGCGCCTTTGAATTATAGGTACTGTTGGAGTGTTTTTATCCCATTTGTTAAAGCAGTTGTCTATGTTGTCGATATGAACGCAAATTGAACTGGGTTGATACAGATTTATTACAGTTTTAGTTGTAACGATGTCTAAGCTTAGCAGTGAGGTACAACAGCTGAGGGGGCCATACACGTACGAGTCCGACTCGGCTCGGGTTCCAATGAGCCAAACTGATCTGTGTGTGGTGAAATTAATCCGAGCCCGGCTCCTCGCGGAGTCAGACTCGTACGTGTATGGACCGCCTAAGAATTGATAATGAAACCAGTTACGACGCAGTTACGCGACCTACAACAGGCTCCCTCTGGTGTACACCACGTGACGTTGCTTCGTCTGCTACAGCGAAATCATATAGTAATATCGTGTGTAGCGGCCTCCGTAGTCTAGAGGTAACGTTCCCACCTCATGACTCGTGGTACGCGGGTTCAAACCCGGCGGAGGTCGTGGAATTTTTAAGGGCGGAAAATTTCAGGGAACAAGTCCTCCGGGAGGGACTTTAAGCCGTGGGTCCCGTGTCGTAGCTTTACGGCACATAAAAGAACCTCATATCTTCAAAGGAGGTCGCTGAGCTGAATTCAAGGACATTTCCTGCCCAACAGTAGTTTCTAACGCCTCTGATAGATGGGGGAAGCATTATAGATACCTCCAAGCCAGTTGAGAACTCGCTGGCTCGGTCGGGACTGATGGCACGCACCAATATCGGTAGGGTATAGAGACTGGTAGAATATCATAGAGGGAAGCACAATGGACCAATACTGGTCTCAGTGCATGGGGAAACCCATCCTCTCCAATAATTAACTAGCTAACTAATATCGTGTGTACAGTGGCTGATAACTAGGGGCCGGATTTTACTGCAAATGCATATTTCTTACTTGCAACCAAGAAGTATGCTCATTTGGATGTATGTATGAATTACTTTCATAAATTTTAGACATAGTTTGATGGGGCATATAAATGCATATTTTGCCTGTTTTATGAATAAGCATAATATTTTCGAAGATTTCTGTTTATGCTACACATTTTCCTTTTAAAATATTTATCATTATATGTATTTTTTAATTTTATGTTCAAATTTTCAATCGTCATCGTGTGTATGCAATTTTCTTTTTCTGTATTAGGACATGCTGCATATTTCACTTGCAACGTTTCGTCATAAAGTGTAGTCTGGATTCATGTTTCTAGTGCAGTACCCAGGACGGGACTTCCCCGATCCCTTTACTCGTAACTTGCCTTATCCACATATTATCAAAGTGGCTGCGAAGGGATTAGTCGGAAGTGTATTCACATGTAGCTGCTAGACGTAATACTATTCAACCGATAAGGGACTTCATTTCCCTATTTCCGAAGTTTCCATCAGGTTCGCTATGCTTCTTCATTTGGAACTGTGGGGTCATTCATATTAATGATGACCAGTCTGTGGTTAAGAAGGAGGGTGAGGTGGGCAGGGCATGTAGCACGAAGGGGGGAGAAGAGGGATGCATATAGGATATTGGTGGGAAAGCCAGAAAGAAAGAGACAACTGGGAAGACCAAGGCGTATGTGAGTGGACAATATTAAAATGTATCTTAGATATACAGGATGGATTGGGTTGATCTGGCTCAGGATAGGGACCAGTGGAGGGCTCTTGTGAACACCGTGATGAGCCTTCGGGTTCCACAAAATGCTGGAAATTCTTGAGTAGCTGCAGATTTGGCTTCTCAAGAAGGGCTCTGCTCCATAAGTAAGTTAGTAAGTCTGGTTAAGTTTGTTTAGCCTTTTGTAGTCATGCGGAAAGTGGAAAGCCAGAAAACTAAAGTACAGCTGCATCAGCGGGAGTTCGAAGGAGAGATGATTGCAGCGGATAACTAAATCCTTTATTGCCGAGCGTGTGAAAAACGCTTTCAAGTGCTTCAGCATTTGAAAAATTATGCACACGAAAAGAATATTAAAATTAAATTCATTGTCCCAAATGTGCTCTGTCTGTAATTGGCCTTGTAGCTGTTGACTCGGCATGTAAATAACAAAGACTTAAAAATAATTATTATTATTTTGTATTTTGCTCTTTAATTATTTTTGTGTATTTCTATGTACTCGTGCTAACTTTGTAATTGACCACTGCGCTGTTAAGTTTGCACGTAAATAAACACGAATTGAATTATTCAAGAGGTTTAATCGCGTATGTATTCCTCTTTATGTTGAAATGTCAGTGGTTTTTGGATTCATCGAGCATACTGGAAGGCTACTTGAAATTTCAAATCAGCTACAGAAAGGAAAAGATTACACCTTGTTAATAAAACCAGAACTTCATTTGCAATTCATATATTCTTCATAAATAATACATATGTTTTTGTGCTTTTTTCTTTGCTCATTGCTGTAATTTAAGACGCTCAACACACATAACAGATCAATTATTATAAGCTAGGCCAGTAAAAAATCGTATTCCATTTATCGTGCAAGGTCATGTTTCTCAATCGATGAGACAACTTGTAGGTATACTGACAGAAATCTCCTTATGTGCTGCCTTCTTGCTGAAGTCGGGGTTGACACCTTTCTTCACCATTTTTTGCCAGTGCTGGGCTGTAGGTCCCTTGACAAGACAGTGGAATTTTATAGCCTTCTTCTGTTTATCCGCGGGACGGCATCGTGAAGAGCACTCCGGCAGGGGCCTCATGCTGAAGCAGATCTCGTGTCCCTCAGCCACCACCTTGGTCCTGTGTGATGTGCAACTGGCCGGAACACTGGGGTTTGCCGGCTTTTTGGAAGATTTCGCTGTTTCGTCAGATTCAGAGCTGGAACTTGAACTGGAACTGGAGTTGGAACCAGACTCAGAACGGGATTCTGATTCAGACGACGACGACGATGATGATGACGAGGACGATGAATCATTGGCAGAATTAAACATTTCGAACCCCCTCTTGTTAGCATTCATTGATTTCTGTTGACTGATCACGTCGATAAAATAGACCTTGTTTTGAACACATGGTTCCAGACGACTGTTTTTCTTCAGCACCTGGGTTGGTTCATCGCATGTTTCATCGGTGATTGCGTATGTAGCTGCGAAGGCAGACGGGTTCTTAACAATGCAGTTCTGTGGTGTTTTGAAATCTGAGAAGGGGTCTCCGTTGAATGCTCCACACAATCCCCGGACTTCATCGCGGTACTTGTTACTAGCCTGCAGCAGAACTCTCTCACTGTCATAGGCGAGCTTCAAATAGTAGTACGGCAAGTTGAGTTGTACGCCGCCGTTTTGCATTCTAAATGCTTGTGCAATTAGCATTCCTTCGGCATACACATTCGTATTTTTGTTGGGCCAGAGTCTGAGAGGACGATCATTCACAGAAACCTGCACGAACTTAGACAAATCTGATGACTGCGGGCTCAGTTCAATCATATTGTTCCCGAGAATCACCTGTACATCCTGTTGAGAAACGAAGAGATTCATGTTACTAGGCTACTAATTGGTTACATTCATAGGAGGTTATTTCCGTGTTTTTCATCCTTAAATGTGTTTGTTTTGTAAATGTTGTTACATATTTTGGCTTTGTGTTCTTTCTACGACTCTCAGGGCTGCTGTGGACATGTTCTGACCCGTCTCGGCACGAGATATAGCTTTTCTGATGAATCATTCATGCATATTTCCCTGATGGCACGACGTATAAGTACGGTACTCACCTTCTTCAGTCCGAAATTGTTATTGCGTACAAGCACAGCTAGATTGCTGCTTTGCGGCCGCTGGCTCTCAGTGCGGAAAGCTGGTTCCTTTGGTACGTCCATCATCATGACGTGCCAGCATTTGCCAAGATTGAGTGGATACGTCCTGTTGTTGAATGTGACAGCAGCAGTGCCATCAACAACACAGCTCGCTGCAAAAACAACCAGTTTCGTCAGTCGCCACACTCTGCTTCATTCATTGGGTACATCTATGCAGATACGTAATTTTTCCCCACAGAAAATATATTTCAGAGTTTGAACACAACTGAGAATTGAATGTGCCATGTGATAAAGAAATGATAGCTCCTGGAGAATTAAAACAAGTGACGAACTAAATAATCTAATAAAAGGAAGGAACGCAGTTAACTTCATCAAAGCCCAAAGAATAAGTTGGCTTGAACACATCTCAAGGATGGAGGCCGGACGAAGAGTATATGACTGGCAGCGACACGCCATGAAAAAGAGAGGCCGACCTAAGATCAGATGGACCGCGTCATAGCTCAAGCGGTTAGTCGCTGGCTTCCCACCGCGGCGGCCCAGGTTCGATCCCGGGTCTGGTCAAGTGGGATTTGTGGTGGACAAAGTGGCGCTGGGACGAGTTTTCACCGAGTACTTCAGTTTCCCCTGCCAATTTTCATCCCACCAATTTCTTCATCATCATAATCACCCGGGGCAAGCTACAATAGGCCAATCAGTGGCTGCCGTGCCGAGTGGAGCCAGTTGGACTCCACCCCCCACTAAGCGAATACAAGGTCACCATTTTGGAGAATGATGGAAACGTGTATTCTATAGATCCCTTTTAACGAATTAAGCATTAATGTTACCATTATGATGGTTATACCAAAAATGAACCTAAAGGATAAACTAAACTTACGTTGTGAAAATAGTGGTGAGAACTGCTTTCTAACTCTTTCGAGAGCTTTGGTATTTGGATTCAGCCGAAATAGTGAAGATTCCAGTGGGCTCAGGCGAATATCGGTGAACTGTACATCCATTATCGGTGCTCTCATGTTCACACTCAGGGCATTACTATTTTCATTCATTTTTACGTTAATTTGAACTTCATTTTGTGGTGGATTCCATGGGAGGACATTTTCAGAGAAGTAAGGATACAGAAGGTGCCGTATCACGGTATATACACTGTATATTTTTCGTAAAACAGGAGTGGGTATGTTCTTGTATTTCAGCGTGAAGGTATGGTCGTCGAGTCTGCTGGCAGTTTCAATGGCATTACGGCAGGCACTGAGAAGGTTGTTCCCAAGATGATTCATTTGATATTGGCATTCCTGGGCTAGAGGACTCTGAGCAACAGCCTGTCTAAACTCAAGAGATTGTTCCATGTTTCCCTGTAAACAAACGGAAGAAATAATGATTACGTGACATACGTGTAATCATTTTCTGTCTCTTGTTAAAAACCAGGCAGGGAGAGAAATGGAGACCTGTGTAATAGGAACTGACCTTCAGAATTACCGTCCACTGAGTGTTTGTGCCGTTGTTCATGTCCAGTCGAGCGGTCATAGAAGAGTTGGGGTTGAATTCCAAGGCTTCGAGCAAGTCCATGCTTGGTACTTGTGGCATCGAGACATTCGCGGAGAGGAAAGTCTGGAAATGATATAATTTTATTTACTTGTTCATAAGTAAAGTAATTAAAAGCAAAGGTAACAGGCCGTGGAGGCCCATAGGGTTGTGAGATGTCGAGGCTCCCACATTTTCTAGACAGTTGGCTCACAGATGGCGATGAGGTTGTCAGCCTTACGCGCCGGGCGCCCTTTACCCCCAAGAATATCCGTGCTACTCATTTCTGTTAGAGGCTGAGTCGACCCCAAGACCATAGTGCGGCTGAAAGGAGTACGTCAATTGAAAAATCCACCTCATCGGGATTTGATCCCGCGACCTTCCGGCCTCAACCAACTACGTTACCGCGTGCCCCCTCTTTAAAATAAAAATGTGGACTTGCAAACATTAAATACCTACGGAATAATTCTGAGCTCAAATTTATAACATGGTAAATACGAGAAGTTGCTTATTTGCTTAGTTTAACTCAGTTTTAAATTTAATCAGCAAACCATATTGTGTACTTAATTATTACATTGCGTTTGCGCAGTTAATGAAATACAGATTGCTGCAGTTGACTGCCAGTGAACCTAAATTCACTCACATTTGCAGCGCTGCGTTTTTAACGTCAAATATACTACGTAAATTGCACCCCTTATGCACCGTAGTTGGGGCGCCATAGCTTACCTGGAACCTCTGACTGTCACTTGAGAGTTGTGCGGGTTTTGCACTGATGAAGAGGAGTGAGCTCGAACTGCCGTCGAACAGAGATGAAGCCTTAGCTGCAGTCGCTGTAAATACTGCTTCAGTCTCGCCCTCGAATTGGACCGACACATCGAGAACAGCAGCAGAAGCGCCTGTAAATAACATTAGCGAAATTCAGTTTCTATTTCACATATGTCATATTACTCAGAAGGGGAGATAGCGACGGGCTGGATGGCCGGGGTTCGAATCCCGACAAGAGTGAGTTTTTCCTTCTGCACAACGTCCAGATCAGCTCTGGGTTCACTCATCCTCCTGTCCTATGGGGACGGGGGGACGTGATTTCCCCGGCGGTAAGGCGGCAGGGGCGTGAAGCTGACTGTTCACCTCCACCTAGTGCCGAAGTCCAGAATGGTGCAGTTATCCCCCCCCCCCATACACATTCGTGGCGTGGTTCTTAATTAATTTTGCAATGCGACAACTTTACCTTACCTTGACATACTGCGCGCCGGCCGCCCTTTACCCCCAGGCATATTCCTGGTACTCGTTTCTGTTAGAGGCTGGTACGGCCACAGGGCCTAATTCGGCTGGAAGGATTAGGTAAATTGAAAAAAAAAATCCAATGACCTTATCGAGATTCGATCCCGCGACCTTCCGGCTTGTAGCATAGTGCCTCAAGCAACTACATAACCGCATGCCCCTGAACAGCCTCGTTCCCTAGCCAAGAGATATACTTACTTGCTGCCACAGCAGAAACCTTGGCAAGAAATTCTTGTCGACGGATGTAGCTGTCCGGAGATTTGGTTGAGCTTGGGTTTGCAGGATTGTAGTTATCGTCCTCATTCCAGAGGATCTGTCTTGGAGCATACATAGATCGGTTCCACTGTTTCTTCTTTGGTTTCCCATTGGTCTCATCTTCGTCGTATTCGACAAAATCGGCCATGAAAGCTTCATACTGAGGATCAGCTTCCGTATTGTCGTCTGTAAGGCACAAATGTACGATGGAATAAGTATCCTTTTTTGTGGGTTTCTTATTTTATGAATGAGAGTGCAAATGAATATAGTCTTACCATAGGCTGCAGTAAATCTAACGGTTTTAGCTGTGCTGAGGGTAGGATCGTGGCTGACGCTCATGTCGGTGAATTTGATGGATCTGCTGGCCCAGAAATAGTGAGCTCGAGATTTTACATCGTGGGATTGAAGACTCTGAAGAAGCCACTGGAGATCTATAAATTCTTCTTCTGTCTGTGCCATAATGGTAAACGCTATTCCAGTGGTTTGCTGGCCGACGGTTTTATTAAACTATATCAGAAAAGAAAATCATTGAATGTTAAAACGCACAAGAATGTTTGCTTTGATTGCAGTTAGCTTTATATTTAATGAAATAAACTTCATTAAAGTTTGTGCCAAAGTTATGTGACAATTTCCATATTTATGCTTTCAGTATTAAAACTTGACTGCCCGCATTGGTATATGAACGTTTTAAATGCGCTCCCGTACTCAATATTCCACATGCTTCAATGCAGTTATGTTTCTGCTAACAGATGGCAGTCTATTCGGACTCGCTTATACAAGTACTGTATGCACAATGGACTGACATGCAGCACGCGACAAACAAATATGGCCGTATTAACAGCAAACCATTCGCCAATTTAAGCACTTTAATTTTGAAAATATGTATGAATATTCACTCACTTATGGAACTGAGCCCTTATTGAGAAGCCGCCGGTTGTGCAGCCCCTCAAGAGCTTCCCAGCAAATTATGAAACCCGAAGGTTCATCACCGTGTTCACAAGAGCCCTCCACTGGTCCCTATCCTGAGACAAATCAATCCAATCCATGCCATCCCATCCTATCCCTCTAAGATTCATTTTAATATTGTCCACCCATCTACGCCTTTGTCTTCCCAGTGGTCTTTTCTCTTATGGCTTTCCCACCAATATCCTATATGCATTCCTCTTCTCCCCCATTCGTGCTACATGCCCTGTCCACCTCATCCTCCTTGACTCGATCATTCTACTTATACTTGGAGAAGAGTACAAGTTATGAAGCTCCTCATTATGCAGTTTTCTCCAACCTCCTGTCACTTCATCCCTCTTAGGTCCAAATATTCTCCTCAGCACCCTGTTCTCAAACACCCTCAGTCTATGTGTATGAATATTATTACGATTTAAAATTGAAATCGTACTTGACGACTTTTGTGGACTTCAATGATAACGACTTACCCATTTGGACGGGCGTACGTGAATGACTTTAGCGTTACTGTCTTGGCTGGCCGGGTTCATGGTGAGGATATCGTGTCTGGTAGTATAAGGCAGCGAGTTCCATTGCAGCAGTTTGTGGTACTGACTGCTGTCTAGCAGTTCTAAAGTCGCATCCACGTGATAGTTCTCAAAATCCAAATTAACTGATGCCCTAAGTGGAATGTTAACTAGGAGGTTTCTTTCCAAGCCGGCAATATACCTCGCGTTTTCGAATGGAGCTAGAAATCCAATCTTGCTCATCTTCTTCATGGAGAACCTGTTTGTGGAATAAAAATTATTTACTTGTTTGTTATTAATGTTTTTTATTATTATTAGTTTTATATTTATTAGCGTAATTTAATTGCATAAAAACTCAGTGGTTTTAGTCCGCAAGCGAACTATACCGACCGAGCGACCACCGCTTGTCGGCGAAGATAGTGACAACTTGAGCGGATAGAGGGTGTCGCGTGGTCATCACAACGAATCCCCACGGCAGTTAATTTCGGTTTTCTAGACCGGAGACGCTATTTCCTTGAAATAGCTCCTCAATTATCCTCACGAGGCTGGCTGGACTCCGTTCCAGACCCATTACTTCTCAGAAAATCTGGTAGCGCCGGGAATCGAACCCGGACCTCTGGGTCTGTAGCCAGGAACTCTGCCTTCATATGAGTGTCGTTATCCTCTCCCCTTATGCATTTTTATGGGTGTACTACCACAAGCTGAACAGAACATCCTAAGTTAGTTCATCGTCTGACATAATTGGGCTCGATCTTGCCTTGCTTCGCTGTGTTTGAGATTCGTTATTAAAACCCGTTTATAGACGACAAAAATTTATTGGAATTCGATGGTCCACTGTTTTCGCAGAAGGTATGGCAGAACAGGAAAATATTCAGTTATACTACTCTGTCCAAAAAGAATCCGACCTTGGGCCGGGAAAACAAAATTCTGCATCTGGGTGGTTACAATATCTAATCCCCTTCAAAGTAGGCCCCTTGCTGACTCCACACACTTAGCCCAGCGGTCCTTCCGTCGCTGGAAGCAATTCTGGAAGGCTTCTTTTGGAATGGCGAGTCAGCAAAAAATCACGCATGCGCATGAAAGTCCCTTCTACCACTACGCTCAGTTTCCCCACCCCTTTGGCCATTGCTTACAGCGGCAAAAAATAAAGTCGGATACTTTTTGAACAGTGGTGTATATCTGCGGATTTCTATTTTACTGTGAGTGACGTAGCTATGCTTGTAGCATTACTTACACAAGGTTTAAGTCAGTGGTAACGTTCAAAAAATCAGGGATTTGCACAGTGTCGTCTGAACCTTTGCTTAAGTCGGGTTGTGAGCGCAGCCGAAATTCACCAGTAGATTGCAGGAGAGATGGTGCTTCCAGTGTGTAGATGGAAGGAAGCCCCAGGGCGTTGGGGAAGGCCAGAGTCAATCTTACTGGGTTGTATAATTTAACATTGTTGAAGGCGTTGGATTGACTGAATCGTTGAGAGAATTGTTTCACAACTGAAAATAAAAAGTAAAAATAGTATTTACAGCCGAATAGTAGTGTTCTTAGATAATCTTTACATTCCAAACCACAAATATGAGATAAGTTGGAAAATGGTGAGCTTTCTAAGACTTTAAATAATAGTTGGTATACAGTGTGTCTCACAAAATTTTGGAGTCTCTATGTATGAATTTTTTATATATAAGAAGAAAGCAGTCTTCTGGGATTTGGCACCGTGTATATGTGGTGTTAACACCACATATACACGGTGCCAAATCCCAGAAGACTGCTTTCTTCATAGTCACCGCCGTGAAAGCCTCAAATCTTTTTATATATAGTTACATACGCTTGGGAATTCTATCCATCCAATTCTTGTCGAACGGGAAGAATTTCTGTGCTCCTGCAAATCGAAATTGCATATTTCCTTCCACTTGTTCTGCTTTGTCGCGTATGATCTTCAACAAACTCTCCAATTCGTCAGTGTTCCATTGCGGCCAAGATGAAGCACGTCTGCTGGATTGATTCTTATTTTGACGTCTGTTGTTTTCGAATTTCTGTTCGAAGTAGTTAAGCGCTTCTTTCACACTGGACCACATTGTTGCAATCTGTAGTGAGAATATTTAAATAGGATCATACCACACTTTATGCATAGGTTCGTTATATGTGTCCATGCACCGTTTATTCATTAATATACATTTTATTTTATAAACTTGTAAACTACTTATTCGTTCTTTTTGTGGTTGAAATTTCAGAACATTTTCATTTACATATGCCAGGACTGTAAGCAGTCAACATCACTCATGGAGCTGAGCCCTTCTTGAGAAGCTGCCAATTGTGCAGATACTCAAGAACTTCCCAGCATTTTACGGAACCACAAGGTTCATTGCCATGTTCACAAGAGCCCTCCACTGGTCCCTATCCTGAGCCAGAGCAATCGAATCCATGCCATCCCATCTCTCTAAGATCCTTTTTAATATTATCCACCCACCTACATCTTGGTCTTCTTAGTAGTCTCTTCCTTTCTGGCTTTCCCACCAATATTCTATATACAGTCCTCTTTTCCCCATTCGTACTATGTGGCCTGCCCATCTCATCCTCCTTGACTTGATCAATCTAATTATACTTGGAGAACACTAAAAGTTATGAAGCTCCTCATTATGCAGTTTTCTCCAACCTCCTGTCACTTCATCCCTCTTCGGTCCAAATATTCTCCTCAACACCCTGTTCTCAGACACCCTCAGTCTTTGTTCCTCCCTTAATGTCAGAGACCAAGTTTCACACCCACACAGAACCAGAGGCAAAATTATAGTTTTGTATATTCTAAGTTTTATGTTTTTGGACAGCAGACGAGAAGACAAAAGGTTCTGGACTGAACGGTAGCAAGCATTACCCGAGTTCAGTCTCCTCTTAATTTCCTCCTGAATCAGGTTTTGATTTGTTATAGTCGTTCCCAAATATTTAAAATGTGCCTATCTTTATGTCACGATTTTGCCCTGCATTTTGGTGATGAGAGAGCAGCATATGCTTAATTTTCTCTGTGTTTACTTCCAGACCAGCTTCCTTACTACCGTCAGTTAAAGTTTGTGTTTTTTTTATTTATGATATCTACATTATCACCCAGTAGATTCACATCATCAGCACAGACCAACAGCTGATATGTCCCATTTAATTTCAGTCCCACCCGGTTTCCCTGGAGCTTTCTAATGGCATATTCTAAAGCAACGTTGAAAAGCAATGGCGATAAAGCATCTTCTTGTTTTAAACAATTCTGGATAAGAAATTTATCAGACAAATGTTTACCTATACGGACTTTACTGTACGTTTCGTTTAAACACATTTTCATCAACCTGACTAGTTTCATGGGTACCCCAAACTCTATCAGAATACTGTACAGTACTTCCCTCCTAGCCGAATCATAGGCTTTCTTGAAGTCTATGAATAGCTGATGTATTGTCTCACTGTACTCCCATTTTTCTCCAATATCTGACGAATGCAAAAGATCTGATCTGTAGTTGATCTGTTACGTCGAAACCCACACTGATGATCCCCAATAATTTCATATACATATATGGCCTTAACCTTGAAAGAAGAATATTGGACAAAATTTTGTGTGACGTTGATAGCAGTGATATCCCACAATAATTACTACAGTCAGTTTATCACCCTTCTTGTGAACAGGTACAATAATAGACTCCTTCCACTGATCAGGCAATTTTTCCTTATGCCAAATAGAAGTAATTAGCTTATGGATCTTAGAATGTAATATTTCACCTCCTGCTTGAAAAAGTTATGCCGGAATTTGATCACTACCTGGCGATTTATACCTTTTCAATTTAGCAATAGCAATTTCGACCTCAAAAGGGCTAGGATCAGGTACTAACGGCTCAGCTCTATGGATTTCTGTCTGCCTAACATCACTGACCCTATGTACATTCAATAACTGAGACACGTAGTTCCTCCACCTATTCAAAATGTTGTGGGAATCTGCAAGCAAATCGCCATTCTCATCCTTCACTAAGTTACTGCTAGGCTGGTAACCCCCTCTTAAAGTCATTTATTCCTCTATACAGGTCTCTAATATTCTTGTTCTTACTGTTTATGGCAAGCTCATCAATTTTGTCTTTCAGTATTCCCTCTTTTTGTTCCTGAAATGCCTGCTGGTTTCGCGTCTTATATTGTTCAGATTATCCCCATTTAACTCGCTTGGATCCTGCAGCAACTGCAATTTGGCTTATTTCTTTTGGGTTAATAATTCTGAACATCCTTCATGGAACCATGGCTTATGCTTCTTCGGTTCATGATAACCTAGACTCTCTGTGGACGAAAATTTGATATTCTCTTTAATAGTTTCGCAAACTCCATTAATACCCACCTCAGGTCTGTAAGTAGTGTGAATTTTTACTATTTGTATGATAACAGAAAGTGAAAAATGATTCTTTTTTTGGGTTCCCCCCCCCCCTTTCGATATAACGAAACATATGCTTCAACGTTAGTAAGTATACAGAAGATTTTACATAAAAACAACAATTAAGTTGAAGAAAGCCATCTTCTGGGATGTCGCGCCGTGTAGAAATTATGTTAACCGACGTTTCGGAGGAACGTATCGCCTGCTGGCCACTTCACCAGACCCTTCCCAACCCCCCTCTACCGTTTCCTATGTAGCCCCACTCACTTCCCTCCGTCTCTTATAAAGCTGTGTTTACTCGGCTGGACTCAGTCTGTTGCACCTGCTCATGCTGATTCACTTGCAGATTTCTTCTTGTCTTCTATCCTGAAGATGGAGGTGATATGTTCCTCCGAAATGTCGGTTAACATAATTTCTACACGGCGCCACATACCGGAAGACGGCTTTCTTCATGGTCACTGCTGTGAAAACCTCAAATCTTACAACAATGAAATTATTTTTTCCCCATGAGAATTACTTACACTGCTGTGCTCGTTCCTGCTCCCACCCATATTACGAGTTACAGATGCAAACAGGGAACTGGGGAACAGGCTGTCGCTGCTTCCAATGTAGCTAATGAATTCTTCGTAAGCAAGATCCAAATCTTCAGCCATCCTACTCTTCATGAAGGTTTGCGAGAATGAAAGATCTGGTATATTTGGTTTCAACAGATTCACTGCTGCTTTCGCGTTGTTCGCCCTGTAAGTGTGAAATTAGTAATAAAAAATTTAAATTGCAAACTTCACCGCAACTGAATCAGGATATGCACAATATTATTATTATTATTATTGCTAGTGGGCGGGACTAAGTCCCTTGTACTGCGGCCACTTCTGGCCTATTGTACCAGCCCCAGATGATAGGTGAGGGTGATTGTGGAGCATTTGGTGGAATGAAGATTGGCAGGGGAAACCGAAGTACTCGGAGAAAACCTGCCCCAGCGCCACTTTGTCCACCACAAATCCCACTTGGCTAGACCCGGGATCGAACCCGGGCCGCCGCCATGAGAAGCCAGCGACTAACCGCTTGAGCTATGGCGCGGCCTATGATGTTCACTTACTTCATATACAAATCCACGAAGAGAATGTTTACTTACAACTGCCAGTTGGGTGGATCCTGCAGCTTCGCAGCGCTCAAGATGGCAGACTGCACCATAGAGGTGACCTGTGGGTCCGGATCAGTATTGGTGAATTCGGCCATTCTCTGGAGCATACTTGCTGAAGGATCTGTCTTCATTAAAAGACTTACTGCGAGACACCTTATTTCGTGACTTTCACCAGTGTTTTGATACAGCTTCAGTAAAACTGCCGCGGCTTCTTTCGAATGCACACTCGCCAGATTGTCCAACGCTGACACCATGAGAAATCTTTGGAATTTCGATGCGTTCCTTGTCCCTTCTAGATAAGGTTCAAATATTGGAAGAATGCTGGGATGACCAACATTCCCAAGTGCACCAATAGAGACCTGAATCTGTCGGCTATCACCTTCATTGATGGCTTCATTGAGTAAGCGCCCCAAATGTGGAATATAGTTCTTGGTCAATTGTGGGAATCTCTTAGGGACCATCCAGCCCCAGATATGCACTGGGTAGTTATCGTGGGCAGAAACATGGTCCACCGCTACTTGACGGAGTAGATTGGAGAAGGATAGTAATACAATACTGTTGAGACTGTTCTGTTTCTTCACCTTAGGATCTGTGGACAGTTCCTGGAAGTAAAATAATACTACTTCAGCACGTGTGTCAAAAAAACAGACATCCACAATAAGTAATTAACTCCGTCGAGCGAACTTGTACTCGTCAATAGATGCTTGTGCCTTTGTAGAACCCAAATGTGTTTGTAAGAGTCTATCACTGGTGAACATTCATTATATTTGAGTTATATTTTGAATACTTACGAAGAAAGCGTCGAGGTATTCTGGCGTAGGTACCAGGGATGCACGAGGCAAAGCAGCGATAACAGCGACAGCTTCGGTTCCCGCTATTTTGTTGTCACGAATCCATTCGCTGATTGTTAACAGGGCAGGCAGAGTTCCGGCTTCAGCAACGGCGTCGCGGAAGGATTTCCTGTATGTGATATATGCAAACATATTGTAGTACACTTGTGGTATGACAATCATTGTTATTCGTGTGTATGAAGAGAGGTGACTCTCGTTTTGGGGGTGTGAACTACATTAACATATTGAAGTACGGTTATAATTTTTAAGTCATGACTGACAGAAGCTAAGAAATAGTAAAGCTATCCCTGTAACAGGCCGTGGAGGCCCATAGGTTTGTGTGATGTTGAGGTTCCCACATTTTCTAGACAATCGGCTCGAAGATAGCGGTAAGGTTGTCGGCTTTACGCGCCGGCCGCGCTTTGCTCCCCAGGAAAATTATTTAATTAATTCCTGGTACTCAGTTCTGTTAGAGGCTGAGTCGACCCTAAGGCAATAGTGCGGCTGGAAAGATTAGGTAAATTGAAAAATTCAATGACCTCATCGTGACGTGAACCCGTGACCTTCCTGCTTGTAGCATAGTGCCTCAACCAACTACGCTACCGCGTGCCCCCGGCCGCCCTTTACCCACAGGAAGATCCCTAGTACTCAGTTCTGTTAGAGGCTGAGTCGACCCTAAGGCAATAGTGCGGCTGGAAAGATTAGGTAAATTGAAAAATTCAATGACCTCATCGTGACGTGAACCCGTGACCTTCCTGCTTGTAGCATAGTGCCTCAACCAACTACGCTACCGCGTGCCCCCGGCCGCCCTTTACCCACAGGAAGATCCCTAGTACTCAGTTCTGTTAGAGGCTGAGTCGACCCTAAGGCAATAGTGCGGCTGGAAAGATTAGGTAAATTGAAAAATTCAATGACCTCATCGTGACGTGAACCCGTGACCTTCCTGCTTGTAGCATAGTGCCTCAACCAACTACGCTACCGCGTGCCCCCGGCCGCCCTTTACCCACAGGAAGATCCCTAGTATTCATTTCTGTTAGAGGCTGAGTCGAACCTAAGGCAGTAGTGCGGCAGGAGGGATTAGGTCAACTGAAAATCCAGTGAACTCATCGGAAATCGATCCTGCGACTTTCCGGCTTGTAGCATAATGCCTTAACCAAGTACAGTACCGCGTGCCCCAAGAAAGAGAGGTAGGTAATATAGCAATTTAATCGTGCTTACCATGTTGCCCATCCGTTGTTAAAGCTTGTCCTTGATAGGTTCTGGAACACGGGCTCGGGAACAAATAATTTCTTCGTCAGCTCACTCAGCTCTTCCCGATTCATAATGCGAACAAGCCGTGTCATGATGATGAATTTGGCCAAAGTATTCTGTTCCGGGATGGAACTGGCATTTTGCATATCTGAGTTGATTTGGTAAGCAAGCTTGATGACACTTTCGACAGGATTCATACGGCTTGGATCATTGACAGCACTCCATTCGAGGTCCATAAGGAAAGGTGGGAGGGGGATAGTTGTGGCTTCTTCATTCTGTGGTCTCATTTGGAATTCATCTTTGCTACTGCTCTCAGGAATGACGCTGCGACGGCCGATGTCACTGCTCTGTTGGTTCTCGGCAAAGGTTACTTGGCGTTTCGCTGATCGACGAAACCTTGCATTCTGACGACTCATGTGAAAGGCTGGTCTCTCGTTTTCATTCATGTTGCTAAACTTACTGCTACTTCTCTTCATATGTTCTGACATTCTGGGTTTGCGTGTTTCCTCTTCGCTACTGCTGCTGCTGCTGCTACTGCTGCTGTTTGGGGCATTTTCTTCGCTGCTGCTACTGCTACTGCTACTGCTACTGCTACTGTCTCTATCCACGTAGAAGGCCTTGTCACTTTTGGTTCGCTGTGGGGTTTCATCTGCAAATGCCTTGTAGCGGTACACAAGATCTCCAGCATTTCGAGGGTTCTCAGGGGCAGGGATGTTTTCTGGTTCTTCTATCGAGACAATGGTGAGGTTTACCCGACTGGCGATAATGCCCTGTTGGTTGTTGTACATTTCAGGACTAACAAGTACCTTGTTGATGGTGACTGATGATTGGATTGTGAACTTGCTGAAGGTGCCACTGATAATAGCCCGGTTAAAGGAAGAATGCTGCAACAAAGTACAATTTTATTTGTATCGGTAAGATCCATTCGTATAATGTCCAAGCACACGTTCATTTCAGGATCGGGTCATCGCAAGGCGTCTGCCTTCACTGAGCAACACAGAAAAAGCAAACACTAAAACACAAATCGTTCATTTATATTAATTACCTGTATTAAGTTCCGTTAATTAATTGAGCCCGTAAGTTCCAAAGATTAATAAAGAATACATAAATAAATTTATGTACTTACAGACAAAAATTCTCCCATCTTGTTTTGGCCTGGTTCAAAGTCATCTAATCCAGTAAATCCAAAATGTAGAGCGCTTCTTTCCTTACAATTAAGAAAGTTTAGGTTCTTGGTAACATCGAAGATGTTGTCATTTTCTAAGTCACTCAAAGGAGCCAGTTCTGGCTGCTGCTGAACCACGATTTTGGGGAGCGGGGAAATATCGTAAACGACTTCACATTTCCCAGTAATTGTGGCCTGAGTATAAAATACATAGTATTAATTAGTGAAGTACTTTCCAGCTTAAGTTGTTAAATACATATAGTGGCGTGTATGTATTTTCATACGAAATTCTATTTACAAACTTCCATTGCTCTGAACACTGCATTGCTGGAATTGGCTACAGGGAGGCTGTTTTGCCTGTCCCTGATGATGTTCATTCCTTGCACGTTCACCTGGAGCGGACTCAAGATACCTTTCAACATGTTAGTTTGCCACTCATTAGAAGAGTCTGAGACAGTCAGGTTTTGGATCTGGAAAACATAAAAAATTACAGATTTATATTTTGTAATCAGGACTTATCAGAATTTATATTAACCAGTTCTAGTATTTAAATTCACTTCTCGAAATAAAGAATTCCGAATTCATTCTCGAAGAGCGCTTTCTAAAAATAATATATATTTTTTTTTTTTTTTAAACGCTGTCAGTATTGAGATTGTAACGTCGACTATAAATTCTTACACAGCATCAATATTCGCCCCTACCAGCCATCCTTCATGCATCCCGAAGCTTCTTGAGAAGCTGATGGTCGCACAGCTAATTAAGAAAATACGTCATGTACAGAAAGTGAATGTTCATTACCGCGTTCACATCCCTATACTAAACCCTGACCTGAGTCAGATGAACCCAGTCCACATGCTCATTATTTCATGAACAACTTTAATATTATCCTACCATCTAATACAGATCTTCAAAATGGCCTCTTCTCTTCATACTCCTCAACCAAAATAACATGTGCACTTTTCATTTCTACGTGCCCTACATATCGCTCCTGGAGACTCCTAGTACAAACTACGATGCCCCTCGGTAAACTGCCTATTCCAACCCCATCTCACGTCCTCCCTGGGTAACGGTTCCTAACTTGTGATTTTTTTACGGTCAGCAGTTCTTAGCCCACTCCCAATCCCAAAGTTGGAAGACCACCCATTATCTGATGTCCAAGGTTCGTAGGTACTGTCCGAGTCATGAAGGAGGATGTGCCAAAGACTGGTTGTAAGCCAATAGAAGTCGACCACGCGTTAGCAGAGGAAATGGGCTGAACTAAAGACCAACTTCAGTGGACTTAAACTCCGTGGCCTATAGTCCGCAAGCGAACTATACCGACCGAGCGAACGTCGCTTGTCGGCGAAGTTAATTCCAACTTTTGCGGATAGAGGGTGTTACGTGGTCAGCGCAACGGAACCCCACGGCCGTTAATTTCGGTTTTCTAGACCGGAGCCGATATTTCCTTGAAATAGCTCCTCAATTATCGGGGGCCCAATTAACACGTCTTAACTAGACGTAATTCATACTTAAGAAACACTCCGAGCCCTCATGTTAGTGAATATAAATGGTAATTCGATGGTAATCCGTGTTTAACTACAGACAAATTCTAAAAAGCTCTGTAACTCCGTGTTCTTGGCCGGAATGTTTTGAGTTTCTTACATTGTGAATTACGTTTAGGTCGCGAGTCATAATCTCTTAATTACGCAACAGTCATTGAACCAATCTATTGATAGAGGTTAGCTCTTTATAACGTAAGCAGCAGAGCAGGTGTTTCCCCACCATTTCACCTGAGAACGGAAACAGATTCGGTTTCCGAAACATTATATTCATTCAGAATACAAAACTGTGGACAAAGACTGGAGACTCAGTAATCCTGAGTATAATGATTGTACTTAAGAGCAAATTAAATTGAAATGTGCCCAGAACACGTTACAGTAAATTCTTAAATGGCCTCGCCATAACTCAGGTTTCCCACCGCGGCGGCCCAGGTTCGAGCCCGGGGTCAGTTCATGTGGGATTTGTGGTGGACAAAGTGGCGCTGGGTCAGATTTTCTCTGAGTACTTCGGTTTCCCCTGCCAATCTTCATTCCACCAATTGCTCCACAATATCATCTCATCTGTGGCTGGTACAATAGGCCAGAAGTGGCAGCAGTACAAGAGACTCAGTCTCGCCCCTCTATTAATAATGAAAATCCAAAATAGATGTTTAAGAAATTGCAGTTGTTTCACGTTATTAACATAACCTCAATATGGGAGTGTTGAGTGAAGTAAAGCCTCATAATATTTTAGTTGCTTTGTATATTTGCTTAATATGTAATCCAACATAATGCACTATCTCCGGATGTGGGCTGCTACTTTATTGATTACAGTAAGAGATTTTTATTTTTCTCTAAATCGTTAAATGCAATATCCGGTCTCCTGACTGTAAGTACTTACTGTTCTTGTAGTCACTTCTTTCTCGTGCAAGAAATGTAGTATTTTATAGCTCTGTATTATGAACGTGAATTTGTGAATTAATCTTAAGCCTGCTTTTACCGGTTCTCACGGTCTCTTCGCTTGCAGATTTCTTATATTTTTTTCTTCTACCCTGAAGATGAAGGCGATACGTTCCTCCGAAACGTCGGTTAACACCACATATACACGGTGCCAAATCTCAGAAAACTGCTTTCTTCATAATCTTAAGAATTTTACTTTTCTCGTCGTGTGTTGTAGGTTTGGTTGATTCTGACCTTAAGCATACATTTAATAATTGTGGACCTCTGTTTATTTAACTCTTAGCATTACTTACCAAACCATTATTCAGTTTCAGTTCGAATGGCTTATTGTCCCATGGGAGGGGCTGCCACTTCGGATAGTCATCAGCAATGTCTTGGCAGCAACCTTCTGGCATTACCATGTTTACGTGAGCAAACTGGGCGGCGAAGAGCTGTAATACAAAGGTTCATATGTATTAAGTACATTGCTAATAACAATAGTGGTGTTATGTTTAGACAACTGAGCAGTAATCGCGAAATGAGGTTCTCCGTAACTTACTGTATTAAAAGTAACCAGCGTTAGTTCCTCAAGAAGACTATTACGTATTTGAATCTTATCGTCTGGGACAACAATGCATTCGGTCTAAGAATCCAAGCTCCTTTGAAGTACGTTTAACTACTTATATTTGAGTTTCTCACAGCGGATACTCTGAAGAGTAGTCTTCTGGGATCTAAAGCCGAGTGTAATCCATGTAAGTTCATTGGCATTTCATAGGAAAGCACTGCTTCCATCTTCGATACTGAAGACGAATGCTTTCCTCTGAAACGTCGGTGGTCTTCTACCGAACTAGTCAGCGTTATATCCCATAGGACCCAGTTTAAACTAATTGCGGGCCGCGTCATAGCTCAAGCGGTTAGTCGCTGGCTTCCCACCGCGGCGGCCCGGGTTCGATTCCGGGGTCTGGTCAAATGTGATTTGTGGTGAACAAAGTGGCGCTGGGGCAGGTTTTCTCTGAGTACTTCGGTTTCCCCTGCCAATCTTCATTCCACCAATTGCTCCACAATCACCCTCACCTATCATCTGGGGCTGGTACAATAGGCCAGAAGTGGCCGCAGTACAAGGGACTTAGTCCCACCCCACTAACAATAAAAGAATAATAAAAATAAACTAATGGCTTTTCCAAAGTCTATATATCAGACAGTAATGTCGGTAGCGTTTTCATGATTTGTTAGTAATTATGATATTTTCGGTTTGCGTACCTTCCCTCTGAGTTCTTGGGTGGTCTTCGGTTCAATGGCTAGCTTTGCCTTGACCAGGATTCCAGTGTATTGGTTGGCCAGCTGATGTAGGCCCGTAAGAGCACGGCCCTCCACGGTATATACATATTGCTTGTTGGGCTCCCAAGCTAAATACAGTGACATGAAATAACATTTTATCACACAGCTCACGTGATGTGCATTTTTTATTATTATCAATAATTAAGTATCAGGGGATCTTTACTGTGATTTGTTGATGAAAAAGAGACTAATGTATAGGACATTATAACGTAAACAAGTCACATAAATAAACATACTATAACACTCTCAGTGTGATTATTAGTTTAAATGTACATCTCGACACATAATTCAGGATTTTATAGTCTCTTTCAATTTTGTTGTCGTACCAAAAATGAATTGTACTTAGGAAACTTCGTTACTTTCCTCGAAGCGAGGGAAGGATAAGGACATTTTAATTCCTTCCCTTTCACAGTGGAAGTGAATTATTTAAATTGTGTACCTAATTATCCACTATTGATTAACAAATAATTAGTAACTGATTTTAAGAACTTCAAACTAAGTTAAATGTAAACAAAGTTAAGTATATAAAGATTATTATTTGAAGTCAATGATTCTTTGTGAAATGTGTTTCAGTCTAAGCCTACAATGATGAAAAGTGGACAAAAAAGTAAAAACTAAAGATATCCCTGTAACAGGCCGTGGAGGCCCATAGGGTTGTGAGATGTTGAGGGTCCCACATTTTCTAAGCAATCGTCTCACAGATGGCGGTAAGGTTGTCAGCCTTACGCGCCGGCCCCCCTTTAGCCCCAGGAATATTCCTGGTACTTATTTCTATTAGAGGCTGAGTCAACCCCAGGGCCATAGTGCGGCTGGAAGGATTAGGTAAACTGAAAAAAAAAACACCTCATCGGGATTCGATCCCACGACCTTCCGGCTTGTAGCATAGTGCCTCAACCAACTACGCTACCGCTGCCCCAAAGTGAACAAAATGAAATGCAAATTCACTACTACAGTAGCAGAGTCTGTCTTCAGCAATTAATACCAGAAGAGTGTGCAAGTCTTACCCGGAACGGCAGCCACTGTTGCCACTGTAAATAGACAAATACAAATTTCATTAAGGATAAGAGTTCAACACCAAATCAGTCAATTTGAAATAAATCTATGGGCTTTTGGGTTCATCTCATGTATTGGTGTAGCTATGTTGTGCACTTTCAGGATCTGGTCACATGTTTCATGAGATTGAGTAACGGATATTCATCTGTTAATATCATTAGGATCAAATTAGAAAAGAAACAGATTAAGGATTGTCAGCCTCACACAAAGTGGCCTATAGAATTTAATGAATATATTGTTAACGTAATATAATTGCATTTATTGAAGTGGATGACACGTTCAGAGATTCAGGTTTATGGAACTCAGTGAAAATGAGCTAAAAATATATCCATCAATATATGGACTTATTTTCCATAAACACTGTGCAAACATTTATCATATTTATGTTGCTCTAGCCCCTCGATACACTGTAACAAATATACACTCATGGAAATTTTAGCTGATTAATGTGTCTCAAGGAATTTGAAACAAGCGCTGTACTAACAAGCAAGAAATGTAGGATTTCAGAATCCATAAAATATAACTGCTCATTATTTAAACTTAAATAGTGCTATATAAATTTCTAATACATAACGTCCTTCCCATAATGCAACAGCGTCATAGTTCTGTTCGAATTTATGGATATTTCAATAGAAATATCCTTAAATTAAAAAAAAAATTATGACTGAATTATAAATTATTTAATAGTATTGCAGAAACTGCTGTGATATTTAAAATACGTACTCTCATACCCAAGCGCAGTGTTAAAATAAATTCTGACCTTCCAGCAGAATATAAGGGCACAGCATTCAATTAAGAGCTAGAAAACACATGACGTATTCCTTTCGACATAGCTGGGCCGTTCATTTTCTATTTCGTTAATTAATTTATGAATAAAAAACATAACATTTTTGTTTATGTTGAATTTCTAAGTATTGAACAAATATGTCGACTTAATAATCTTACAGAAGATTGAAGATTGAATATTGAATTCTGTTCCATGCTTACCGAAGAGGCAGCAGAGAAAGGCCTTCCACATGTTGCCGGCGATGTGGTGAGCGCTGCTGTGGCCCATCACTGGGCATGGACACGATTTATAGGAAGCGAGTCCTGTGTGCTCTTCATAGGACACAAACCCCTGACGATGCTGGGTCATGGGGTCAGTTTGTCCTCAGCAGAATCCCAGGACTCGAAGCTTGGATTGACTGAGGGTCGCACGCGGATACTTTATCAGCGCAAAATGCTGTGTTCTGCAGTTTACATACATGCGCTCTGCCCCCATGTCGCGGTTATTAATATCTCACATAATGAGCGTAGGGCTTTGAATTAAAGTATGTACCTGAAATGTGTTCAGGGAGCCGGGATAGCGTAGTCGGTATAGCGACTAGCTAAGGGTCGGAGCTCGAGTCCCGGTAGGGACAAGATTTTTCTCTTCTCCACGTCCCCCATACCGGCTCTGCGGTCCACCCAACCTCATATTTAATGGGTACAGGGGGCTCTTACCTCGGGGGTAAAGCGGCCAGGACCTGAAGCTGACCACTCCCTCATACCCCATCATTGCGTAATGCTGAGTAAGTTAAGCACAGAGACAACTTTACCTTTTTACCTGAACTGTATTCGCAGGAGACATTTGCCTAACTGTTTTTAAGAAATTTGGTAAGGTAACGTTCTCCTTGTGCTTAACTAATTAAGCACTACGCCATGAAGACGTATTGGGGAGTGGATGTATAGATCCACATTTTCTTGACCTCGGCAATAGCTGGAGGTGTGGTCAGATTCACGCCCCGGCCGCTATACCCCCAGGGAAAGAGCCCCCGTTACCAGTTAGATAGGTTATGTGAACCCCAGAGCCGGTCTGGACGGCTTGGAGATGAGAAAAATTGACCCTACCGGCACTCGAACTCCGACCCCTCGGTCGTGCAGCCCGTAGCCATTCGTTATATCGACTGAGCTATCCCGGCTCGTAAGGAAGTTGGTTGGGTGTGCAGTAGTAACGTGCCGTGAATTTATTTCTTTTGTGCTTTATGTAAATACGCTTTCATTAGCTCAAGGCTATATAGAGTCGCAGTGTAAGGTGCTTAGGGAAACATTAATTGGATAGGATGTGGAAGGAAATACTATCCCAACATTCATTCGAGAGACAGAGAGAAATTACGAAAGGAATTAATCAGAATTGTGGTCTGCCAGCAGAGACTCGAGCTAGACATCTTCCTTCTACTTCTTGAGTCAACTTTTCGATACTTTTTCTTCTTTCGACCTTGAATGGGTTAGGGCCTTTGGACTGTTCTCATTCAGACTTAACTTCTGAAAATATTAATCATAGAGACAATTAATAGGACACCTTAGGTTGGGGATCGGCATATCACAAGGCCCGTAACTGCTCGTATATAGGATAACACTGACATACATCAGGCCTTGGCCGCGCCATAGCTCAAGCGGTTAGTCACTGGCTTCCCGTCGCGGCGGCCCGGGTTCGATCCCGGGTCTAGTCAAATGGGATTTGACAAAGTGGCGCTGGGGCAGGTTTTCTTCGAGTACTTCGGTTTCCCCTGCCAATCTTCATTCCACCAATTGCTCCACAATCACCCTCACCTATCATCTGGGGCTGGTACAATAGGCCAGAAGTGGCCACAGTACAAGGGACTTAGTCCCACCCCACTAGCAATAAAAGAAATAATACATCAGGCCTTGAATGTGATTCGAAGACCCGATCCAAGTATTCGAATAGCCGAAGGCAAAGCAACAGGAGAAACTGTATAACCTCAGCGACCTCAGGGCCTCTGTGATAATAGCAATTCAGCAGCTGATTGGTCACTCAGCAGTAGAGCAATAAGACCGTGAATTCCATAATCCGCCACTCAGCTCCTTCTCTTCGCCTTCCTCTTTCACCAGCATCCATCTTTACTGTCTTCCCTTCTCTGTCTTGCAAATTGATGCCTTTAAGAAGGTATCGTTTCGCTTCTTGTCTCACCCAGTCTCACATATCCTAGGCACACGCCCAACATGTCGTGGTTTCCTGGATTTCACTGTCCTCACATTGCTGGGTGATTGTATAAGTCACCAAGTTGTTCGTCATGTATCGTTTTATGGTCCCTCACTTCACTTCATTTTTATCACAATTCCTCATTTCTTGGTACAAGGAGCACGTGAAAAAGAAAATAGAAGAATACAGGAAAGTGAAGTGACTCTTGGGTAGGACATTCCAGTTATCAATGCAAAACAGAAGGCCAGGTCATAAAACCGGTTTGGACTTGAGGAACACATTGCAGTGGCATATGACCATACCGCTGCTACTCAAAAAGCTGAAGACCGCCTCTGTGGTCACGTGGTCAGAGTTACTGGCTACAGATCCAGAGATCCGGGTTCAATTCCCGGCGCAACCAGATTTTCTGAGAAGTAGTGGGTCTGGAACGGTGTCCACTCAGCCTCGTGAGGATAATTGAGGAGCTATTTCAAAGAAATAGCGGCTCCGGTCTAGAAAACTGAAATTAACGGTCGTGTGGATTCTTTGCGCTGACTACGCAACACCCTCTATCCGCTAAAGTTGACACTTCGACGAAAACGGGTGGTTGCTCGATCGGTATAGTTCGCTTGCGGACTAAAACCACAGAGTTTGTTTTTATTTGTTGCGTGTATAACCATCTTCATTTCATGTCTGAGAGTTTAAATATCCAGTTTAACTCTTACCCACCACAGAGTTCGGCAAACACGGATTCACTGAAATCTCCGCTTTCAAGAGACTTATATTCCGCGCTATACGAGGGTTTAGCATGCTGAGTAATAGGGTGTTAGTATATGGACTGGGTTCGTGTGGGACAGGGTCCAATGGCGAGCTATTATGAACCCGTTGATGAGGTCTGGGTTCCGAACACGATCCAACAGCTGTTGCATTGCAGGGCTTTCGTTGTTTAGTGCTTTGTAACATCATATACTGTCTTTCAGAAACTGATTCTAATTAGATTTGAAAGTAGACAACCCATACGGACGCTCAAATATGTGGCAATAATAGACGGAAACAAGGATTCCGTAGTAGGGCGGAATTCGAACCCACGACACCAGCGTAAGTCCATCGAAGACAATGCTCGCTGCTGATTACTTGGGCGTTGTGATCGGCATATTGGCACCTAATGAGATAAATGTTGAATTTCGCTTGTCTTCGAGTAAAGAGCCAGTTCTTTATGCAGATATTCTTAAGAGGCTTTATATTTAACATCAGTCGAAACCGGATCCTGTAGGTGCCAGACATTGGCGGACAGTTCTTACGGCAGTAAGCTCGGTAGCTATGTATCGACGTTGGGGCACTATGCTACAAGCCGGAAGGTCACGGATTCAAGTCCCGATGAGGTCATTGGATATTTTCAATTGATGCCCTCCGGGTATGGAGGGAAGCTACGAATACATTGAATAAGAACTCGCGGACAGCCGACAAGGGGTGGTCTTCCAGCTTTGGGATTGGGCATGGGACTAACAACTCCTCACCGTAAAAAATAACTTTGTTACGAAAATGAACACAAAGCCTCGGACCTGGACGGATTCTCTGGATAAACGACCTAGGCTGAAGAACTTGGTCTCTGACATTAAGGGAGGAACATGGACTGAGGGTGTTTGAGAACAGGGTGTTGAGGAGAATATTTGTACCGAAGAGGGATGAAGTGACAGGAGGTTGGAGAAAACTGCATAATGAGGAGCTTCATAACTTGTACTCTTCTCCAAGTATAATTAGAATGATCAAGTCAAGGAGGATGAGGTGGGTAGGGCATATAGCACAAATGGGGGAGACGAGAAATGCATATAGGATATTGGTGGGAGAGCCAGAAGGAAAGAGACCGCTGGGAAGACCAAGGCGTAGGTGGGTGGACAATATTAAAATGGATCTTAGAGAGATAGGATGGGATGACACGGAGTGGATTGATCTGGCTCAGGATAGAGACCATTGGAGAGCTATTGTGAACAAGGTAATGAACATTCGGATTCCATAAAATGCTTGGAAATTCTTGAGTAGCTGCATAATTGGCGGCTCCTCAAGAAGGGCTCAGCTCCATAAGTAAGTAATAAGTTTATTATCCGGAAGTACAGTTGTTTAACACTATTATCCTGGAGTTGGGCTTGGGTCGAAATAAAACGTACTCCGGTCGGCCTTCCGGTACAGCTGTTCTCCATGGTTTGAGAGTGGTTTTACCGAGGGGCCCAAAAATGCAGGTTATTCTTTTATATGCTCTTTACCCTGTGTACTAGTTTTAATAAACAGGGATTATGGACGAATGGCAAAATAATAGCTTTAAACAATTTGTCACACCAAAGCGTTAAACTTTGTCCATAATTGTTATAGTTATTTTGTTAAAAAATTGAAGACACTACTCCCACTTACTTGCGAAAGGAGGTATTTTACGTAGCAACTTCTGTTCCGAATGACAGATAAGTAAGCAGAGTGACGTGTAAGGTGCTGAGTCTCCGGAAATCGTAATAATAGCAGATATCCCTGAACATATTAGCGATACGCGTAGAAAGATGGTGGAGGGGAAGTGCTCATAGTTACTTATAATAATATATTTCGGTTCCAAACATAATCATAATATCGCGAGAAGTTAAGTGATAGTTCTTAATGTAACTTACAAACAACCATTGACAGAGAGCAGAGTCCATCTTAAGCTTATATTCAGTTAGCTACGCACGAAATTCACCGTCATTTGTGTAACCAAAAGATCTTTTGATGGTGTCCAAATTATGAAGTCCATCCTTAAAGAAACTCAGTGGTTTTAATCCGCAAGGAACTATACCGACCGAGCGACCGCCGCTTGTCGGCGAAGTTAGTGCCAACTTCAGCGGATAGAGGGTGTTGCGTGGTCAGCGCAACGAATCCCCACGGCTGTTAATTTCGGTTTCATAGACCGGAGCCGCCATTGCCTAGAAATTGCTCCTCAGTTATAATCACGAGGTTGAGTGGACTCCGTTCCAGAACCACTACTTCTCAGAAAATATGGTAGCGCCGGGAACCGAACCCGGACCTCTGGATCTGTAGCCAGGAATTCTGACGACTAGACCACAGATGCGGTCGAAGTCCATCTGTAAAATCCTGTTTAATATTGTGAGCAGTTAATTAGATTTGTAAACCTTTTGAATCATATCCAACACGCTGTATTTTCCTAACCTTTCGTTATTTCAACTCCTTTC